CACTGAACACTGAATATGGAAATTACTCTAACGTCTTATTCAATTAATGCCAGCACATACACGCATATAAAGTAAATCAAATATATAATACAGAGACTGCACACCCCGTTCTCAAATACTGCACATAATTATCTTATCAAAACACTTCACGCGCCCACTTATAGAGTATTAAGATAACCAGTACATTTTCTTAACTTCACTATGACTTGAATATTCTAGACTGATATCTGAAATGCTCTAGATTAAGAATACATTTCTTTTAACTTCGGATAACTGAGATTAAGTTTAATATATACACCTATTCAATGGATATTACTTAGATCTTATTTTCTTTGAAGTAATAGTGAAAAGATGATTCGTTTGGTTCCAAAGCATTGTTGGCAATTTGTAGAATTTGCTGTTCATACTTTTGTATAATTTATTTAACGAGTGCGTCTGTACGAAAGCCCGAACGAACCAAATTTGTACGAAAGGAAACGAACTAAGTTAGTTTATACTGTATTTGGCTTCTTTTAACGGTCACATACGGCCGGTTTGTTAAAATCGTGCCAGGCCCGACCCAACGAATATTCGTATGAACAGATCTATATACACAGAAATAAATGCATATCTGTCGATCTATCAAATAAATATACATTAATTTTTTCTATCTGTATGGTAGATATGCATGTCTCGACTGATAGATATGCACTTATTTTTGTGTATGTGCATGTCAGTGTAACGAATGTCAGTTAGGTCGGGCCTGGCACAATTTTAACAAACCGGCTGTTTATCTCCAATAATGCCCTTGGATAAGCCCTAAATAATCTCGATGATTTATTTTCGTTTAACCTTCTCCCTCCAAAAGGTGGTGAGTAAGCTCTCCATTTTTTTTCTCTCTTAGCGTGGGTGGAGTAAAAATTTAGAGATATATATCTTTTATTTTTTTTATATGTCGGACTTCTCTTAAGATGCTGTAGTAGAAAAAAAGATATTGGAATTAAGAGAGCTGATTATCCGGCCTAAGACTTCACTAAATGGTACGGTGAATTAACGAAAAGAGCGAAGAACGCCCACACTGAATCGGAAAACGCCCATACTAGACCGAACGGCGCCCACAGACTGAACAAGACCCATGCGAGACTGATAAACACCTACAATATACCGAAAAACGCCCACGCTAGATCGAACAGCGCCCATACTGAACCGAACGCCCATACTTGATCAAAACCGCCCATATTAAGTCAACCAGCGCCCACACTTGACACTCCCGAGCAGCTACAACTTTTGAATAATTTCCTACTTGCTGGAGTCTCACTGTTCGAATTCAGCTGAGGACGAGATGATCGTTAAGTTCGTTGGGGTTCAAATATTCAAAAGTAGACGCACCCTGATATTCATCCGTTTGAATAAAACAATTGGCTGAAATGTAGGCGAGGACGGAATGAGAGAGAGAGAGAGAGAGAGAGAGAGAGAGAGAGAGAGAGAGAGAGAGAGAGAGAGAGAGAGAGAGAGAGAGAGAGAGAGAGAGAGAGAGAGAGAGAGAGAGCGAGAGAGAGAGAGAGAGAGAGAGAGAGAGAGAGAGAGAGAGAGAGAGAGAGAGAGAGAGAGAGAGAGAGAGAGAGAGAGAGAGAGAGAGAGAGAGAGAGAGAGAGAGAGAGAGAGAGAGAGAGAGAGAGAGAGAGAGAGAGAGAAGGAGAGAGAGAGAGGAGAGGAGAGAGTGGAGAGAGGAGAGGAGAGAGTGAGAGAGAGAGAGAGAGTGGAGAGAGTGGAGAGAGGAGAGAGAGGAGAGAGAGAGGAGAGAGAGAGAGGAGAGAGGAGAGAAGGAGAGAGAGAGAGAGAGAGAGAGAGAGAGAGAGAGAGAGAGAGAGAGAGAGAGAGAGAGAGAGAGAGAGAGAGAGAAGAGAGAGAGAGGGGGGGGATGTCTACCTTTTTGACACTAAAAAACTCTTTGGAAATATATACACACAAATATGCGGAAAATATTTATATATGGTTAATATTCTTAGACAATATCATGAAATTACAATGCAGTATTTCTCATCAAAACTGAACATGTAACTACCTAACTACTTAAAAAATGCTCTTTGTTTAATATTATTGTTAGCCAGCAATACAAACATCATTTCTAAAATCTTAATTGTTTAATCCATGGAATAAATAAAAAAATCTTGCCGTAGCGGATGTCAAATCTCGAAATAGTATAGACGTCTGCTATCAATTCCTTATCGAAACCCAATCATATATACAATGAAATACAAGTATAAGAAATAGAACAAAAATACTAACGTTTCGAGAAAGACTCTCCTCAACAGGCAATAAAAGTGGATCCACTTTAGTTTGTCTGATCTATCTAACTCGAAACGTTAGGATTTATGTTCCCATTGTAGCTCTAGATTTAATTTTATTGATATTAACAAATTATGATGTATATCTGATCTAAACCTATTTATTTTTTGGTCGACTATTTTTTTTCTGTAATCACATTTCTAGTTCATTTTTTCCACTTTGAATGTTAAATGTACTCTAAAAGTTGATTCCATTTCCATCAAACATTAATTTTTATCTATCTTTTAATGCTATATAAAAATATCTAATATCCTCTGTTCTAAAATATCCACTAACAAAACTAAGAAAAAAAAAACACTTACAAACATAAAAAATACAGAAACATAGTAATGACACATACTACACTGACACTGACCGAGCTTAAAAACCAACTATAACTACCACTGGGCATTTCAGTATCACCATAGGCCTATCTAGTAATGTTTTTCTTCGGGTTTTAGGCCTACAATCTGCTCACTCTCTTCCCAGACAATCTTGGCCAAGGCGTTATCCCTTCCGTAAGAAGATTCTACCTCGGATACCTGAAAAAAAGTAAAATAGGATTGTGTAATTAAGCGATTGTAGAGGTGTAAGTGCGAGAGAGAGAGAGAGGGAGAGAGAGAGAGGGAGAGAGAGGGAGAGAGAGAGAGAGGAAAGAGGAGAGAGAGGGAGAGGACAAATCATACAATAAACAAGGAATAAACACAAAAGCAAACATACAACATACCAATCAATAAACAAATAAACAAAAAACAGTATAAACACAAATACAAAACATAAAACAAACCAAACAATACACAAAAACAAAAACAAAAAATTAAACCAAACCACAAAAAAGAAAAAAATAACGAACTAAAAAATACTACAAAAAGAAAGAAAAAAAAACGTCACAAACCAAACAACAAACACATAACAAACACACAACCCGCCCCCAAAACAACCCCGGGGCCCCAACCTTGCAGTCCATGAAGAACTTCCCGCTTATGGTCGCTGTTTCCGGAGCCGTTGCCAGATGTATGATCGTCTGCGCGCCTTGTTCAACCGTCTGTAAGGGAGTTGAGGAGGTTTAGTGAGCTTTGGTAAGTGTCAAAGGGTTTAATTCCTTGATTTTCTGTGCTTTTTTATTGGTATTTTTTAGCGTTATCTTCTTGATTTCTATTTCTTAACTTTCCTTATCGATTTGTATGCCTATCTCTATATATACACAGCATATATATATATATATATATATATATATATATATATATATATATATATATATATATATATCTAAATATATATATTATATATATATATATATATATATATATATACATTTTTTGTTTTTGTATACATATACATATAAGTACACATATACCCACCCAGACCCACATTTAGTCCTATTTTTTCTTTCTGCAAGCTTCTTCACACTCACACTATTATTTTATAGTATTATTGCAAAAGCCTGTCTTGTAGAACAATGATATATATATATATATATATATATATATATATATATATATATATATATATATATATGTGAATTTCATTGTCGCTCTGGTTTCACGATTCTTACAATCATCATCATTATTGCTAATATCATTATTACTGTTAACAATATTGGTATTACTAGTCTACCACATCATTTTGTTTACACATCTAATGAACCCCTTCACCATCATCACCATCAGGCACCATTACCTTCGACATGAACCCCCTTGACCATCAGGCATCATTACCTTCGACATGAACCCCCTTCACCATCAGGCACCATTACCTTCGACATGAACCCTTGCACCCTTCGACATGAACCCCCTTCACCACCAAGCACCATTACCTTCGACATGAACCCCTTCACCATCAGGCACCATTACCTTCATGAATCATACCATTTTCGACATGAACCCCCTTCACCACCCACCATTACCCGACATGAAACATCAGGCATCATTACCTTCGACATGAACCCCCTTCACCACCAGGCACCATTACCTTCGACATGAACAGAGCCAAGAACCGGAAGAGTTTGCCGACCAAGAATCCTCCCGATTTCTGGAAGATCTCCGTGGCGACGAGACCCGGGCAGTGAGAGTTGGCCACCACACCTTCGAAAGGAAAGAGAGAGGTTGAGAAATTTTCTGGAAGGATTTTTGGGAAAGAGAGGACTTTTATTTTATTTTATTATTATTATTTTTTTTAAAGAAGAGGTGCCTTTATATTTTTTAATAGAAATGGGTAGTTCTCGATGAAAATTCTAGTTGGCAACTTTTGAGCTAAGCCCCGCCTCTCTAACTTTATTCATAGCAAATATTTTCATTTCGTTTTAGTTATTTTTTCTACAATTGTTATCACTGAACCATTTTCAAAGCAAATGCACTGAAAATGCATGAAACGTAGCATAGATTGTCTGGTCAGATACAGGGGCGGAGTTAATGACGTCATCACATTTAGCCAATGAGAATGCGCTGTGAGATACCAGATATAGCTAGATACATAATTATTTGTAAAATTTACTCAATACTGTTATAAGCACCAGAAATAAAACAAAAACTCCCCTCTTTCATTTATGGTAACGAAGACTTAATTACCATTAACATATGTCAGCATACTCTTGGGAAAAAGTCAATTTCATTATTGTGATTAACAGGCTAAATGGAGCTACCTGATTTTATGTACCTTGGAAAAAGCGAGAGAAAGAGAAGTGGATTTTTTATTTCTTTTTATTTTTTTAAAAGTGAATGATAAAGTGACTTTTGGAGAAAGACGGAGGGATGGAGGGCTTCTGGAAAAAAAGAAGGTTGGAGGGACTTTCAGAAGGAGAGAGATAAAGAGATTTTGAGAAAGGAGAAAAGGATCACAACTTTCTGAAATAAAGTAAAGGAGAGAGAGAGAGAGAGAGAGAGAGAGAGAGAGAGAGAGAGAGAGAGAGAGAGAGAGAGAGAGAGAGAGAGAGAGAGAGAGAGAGAGAGAGAGAGAGATGAAGAGATCTGAGGGACTTGTGGAAAGATATATATAGAAAGATTTTGGGTAAAAAAAATATAAAAATAGGAAATAGGAAAAACATAGAGATGGATTCCTTATATGAAATGATATAGATATGAAGTGTAAAGATTAGAAAAAAAATTTTTTGGGAAAAAGTCCTTTTGGGAAAATGAGATAGAGGGTTTAAGAAAAAACATCGATGGATTTTGAAAAGCGTAAGATTAGAGATCTTGTTTTTGAATTAGAAGCCATGCATTTAGTTGTTTGTTTGTTTCGTTTCATTTGCCAATTGAATTATCTGTTTCATTCATCATTTCTCTATCAATAAAATTTATTTCATATGTGTATTTGTTTATTAACGAACGTATTTATCTAATTTGTATCATGGTTGCCTGACTAACTGATCAATTGTGATAATACAGCGATACGATAATGTAATTTTGTGATATTCATATATAACTAATTTCACCTGAAGTATTTACAACAATATAGATAATAGCCATATCATGTAATAAAAATCAACAAGATATCACATACATAAAATAAATACGATCCTGAAAACACACGACATAAACACAAATACAACCGACATAAAAAAAAACAAATTTAGAAGAAAACAATAACAACACCTTCATTCATTCAATATCGAAGCCCCACTTACCTGTGTCAGCCAACAGGTGTGACAGGTGACGGGCGTATAAGACGTTGCAGAGCTTCGACTGACAGTAGGAACGGTAAGGTCCGAACTCGCCCTTTTCGAAGTTCAAATTCTGGGGGGGGAGGGGGGAGGAGGAGGAGGGAGAAGACTGTTATATATCTTTTGAGAGGTTGTAATTTTGTTTATCTATGTATCTATATATCGATTTATAGAGGGAGAAGACTGTTATATATCTTTTGGGAGGTTGTAATTCTGTCTATCTATCTATCTATATATCATTTTATAGAGGGAGAAGACTGTTATATATCTTTTGGGAGGTTGTAATTCTGTCTATCTATCTATCTATATATCATTTTATAGAGGGAGAAGACTGTTATATATCTTTTGGGAGGTTGTAATTCTGTCCATCTATCTATCTATATATCGTTTTATGGAGGGAGAAGACTGTTATATATCTTTTGAGAGGTTATAATTCTGTCTATCTATCTATCTATATATCGATTTATATTTATGTATTTAAGAGGGGGTGAAGAGAAGGAAGATTCTTGTTATATATCTTTCGAGAGGATCTAATTGTGTCTATCTATCTATCGATCTATATATGTATTTATTTTTTTTAATTAATAAATTTTCTTTTGAGGGGAGTTATAATTCAATCTATTTATCTATCTATACTATTTATCTATTCTTCTACATACATATACACTGCATATATCTATCTATGATTCAGTCGATTAATCAATCTATCAACCATGAAATAACCGTGACGTCATCCAAATTATTGACCTTGGGATCGAAACCCGAGATGTGACCGTGAGAGTCTGAGGAAGTGATCACTATTCTGCTGGGAGAACACTTCTTCAGCAACCCTGAAAGGAGAAACAACATAAATATACATATAGACACAGATGCGTATACGTAAAAGTTAACAAATGACACACACACACGCAAGCGCACACACACATACACATACATACATATAATGAAATGTACATACACACACACACACACACACCTACACACACACACACACATATATATGAGGCAGCGCAACTCAGGTCCTGTACTCACACTTATCCTTCCTCTTCCTCCTTCTAACACCCCCTCTCCCCACCCCCCAAAAAATCCTACTTGCTTACAAAGAACCTCCCTAATCCTCATCCTACAAAGGATTAAAAAAGGATCTTAAAACTCCTACTTATCCAGGAGCACACAAACAACAAAATAAATCCTCACTCCTACCCACGCCCTTAAAAAAATCCCCCCTTACCCTCACCCTACAAAAGGACCCAAAATAAAGAATCCCCAAAACACCCTCACCCTAAACAAAAAAGAAAAAAAAAAAAAAAAAAAAATCCTACTCTTACCTACTCCCTCTCTCCCCCCCCCCAAAAAAAAAAATCCTCCCCCACTCCTACAAAACAGAACCCCCCTAAAAAAAAGGACCCCAACCCCGCCCCCTACTTACCAAGAGCAAGTTGCCGAGAAGGAAGTGTCCGAAGTGGTTGGTCGCCATCGTCATCTCGAGCCCTTCCGAAGTCAGTCTCCTCTCGTCGAGTCTCCGATGCCTCGTCAGGGACGGAAGATTTTGAGGGGGTTGAGAGAGAGGTTGTGAGGTTTGAGTGGGGGTGGGTGGTTGTGGGGGGTTGGGGGTTGTGAGTGGGGGTGGGGGTTTGGGGGTTGTGGGTGGGGTGGGTTGGTTGTGGGGGTTTTGGGGTATTGGGTGGGGTGGGTTAGTTGTGGGGGTTTTTTGAGGGGGTTTGGGGTTATTGGGTGGGTTGGTTGTGGGTGGGGGTGGGATGGTTGCGTTTTTTTGGGGGGTTGTGGGGTGGGGTGGGTTGGTTGTGTTTTTTTGGGGGGGTTGTGGGTGGGGTGGTTGGTTGTGTTTTTTGGGGGGTTATTGGGTGGGGTGGATGGGTTGTGCGGGTTGTGGGTGGGGGTGGATGGGTTGTGGGGGTTGTGAGTGGGGGTGGATGGGTTGTGGGAGGTTGTGAGTGGGGGTGGATGGGTTTGTGGGGGGTTGTGGGTGGAGTGGATGGGTTGTGGGTGGGGGTGGATGGGTTGTGGGTGGGGGTGGATGCGTTGTGGGGGTTGTGGGTGGGGTGGATGGGTTGTGGGGTTGTGGGTGGGGGTGGATGGGTTTAGGGTGTTTGGAGGTGGGGTGGATGGGTTGTGGAGGTTGTGGGTGGGTGTGGGGGTTTTGGGTTATTGGTGGGGGTTGGATGGATTGTGGGGGTTGTGAGTGGGTTGGATGGGTTGTGGGGGTTGTGAGTGGGGGTGAAAGGGTTGTGTGGGGGTTGTGTGGGTTGGGGGTGTTTGTGAGTGGGGGTGGACGGGGTTGGGGGTTTTAGGTGGATGGGTTGTGGGTGGGGTGGATGGATTAATGAAGGATTAAGGATGGATGGGTGTGGCTGTCGTGGGTTTGGGGTTGTGGTAGGATGGGGTGGGTGGGTGGAGGTTATAGGAAAATGGTGAGTTTATAAGGATTTGAAGAGGTTTTGAAATTGTTGGGTGGGGGTTGAGGGAAAGATGAGTGGGGTTGTAGACTAATTCATGGGGTAAAAATGAGGTTAGAAGAAGAAATGAGATGACGGGTTGTAGATTTCGTGAGTTCGGAAGGATGAATAATATGGATAAATGCGAGGAGATAGTTGTGAGTTGTGGATTCGAGAGAACACTACTAAGGTTGTGGAATCGCTGAGAAAAGCGTTGGAGTTGTGAGAAAGACGCAATAATATTATTTAAAAAGTTATGGGATTACAAGATGAAGTTCACGAATTAACAACAAACTTGTGGAAAACAACATCTTGAATTTGGGGTTGTGGCTGCAGGCTCTGAGGGGACAGTTATGAAATCCTATGACGGTATGAGGGTTGTATGAAGTTAAGGGAAGGTGTGAGGATGTATGGTTTCCAACACAACCTCACCCATCCTACGGTATGGGGGCGGGAGGATGTAAATGATTGTGACAGATTGTGGTATTGTGGTAGCTCGCTGTGGTGGAGTGGGGAAGGGGGGGGGACTCCCTTGAATTTAATAGGTTGAAAATGATGATGATAATGATGATCAGGGGGGGGGACTCCGTGTACTTATTAGGTTGAAAATGATGATGATAATGATAATCATGGGGGGGGGGGGACACCGTGTACTTATTAGGTTGAAAATGATGATGATAATGATGATCATGGGGGGGACTCCGTGTACTTATTAGGTTGAAAGTGATGATGATAATGATGATCATGATAATAATAGGTTGATTGTGATGGTAATTATGACAATGACAATCATATTGATCGTAATAATAATGGTGAAAATGTGTTGAATATAATGGTAATCATAATAATAATGGTAGACATTATAATGATTATTATTATGATTATAATAACAATACTGTTGAAAAGGAGTTGAATATAATGGCAATAATACTACTACTAATAATGGCAGTAATAATAATGGTGAAAATGAACTGAACATGATGATAACGACACACACAAAAAAAGATAAAAATAAGACAAACCACAAATAAACATAATAACAATAACGAAAAAGAAAACGACCCGAATAAAATATTCACAAGATTGATAAAAATAAACGAGAAAATAAGACCAGAAAATGTTTAGCCAATTATGATGTCAAGGTTCAAAGCCGGTATTGTTGAAGTCATGACACAGCATGACACTGAGGATTCTGATGGGCGGGTTGGCAAGTCACGTACCGACAAGAACAATAAGAACAGCGAGACAAAAACTAATTTGCATATATGGTCGAATATAGGAATTGCCAACACCGTCTCTGCGATTTTTTGACTTCAGCAAGCACGGATATTTTTTTGTGTGTAAATTGGAAAAAAAAATCTTAAAGAGAAGGAAGAAAGAGATGCAGAGAGAGAGAGAGAGAGAGAGAGAGAGAGAGAGAGAGAGAGAGAGAGAGAGAGAGAGAGAGAGAGAGAGAGAGAGAGAGAGAGAGAGAGAGAGAGAGAGAGAGAGAAAGTTTAAAATCAATATGCTACTATTGTCATTATTACCATTAATGTTAGAATAGTTACTGTTATCATTATCATTATTTCTATCACTT